CTTCTGACATATAGCCATGATAAAAACGTCTTCTACCCAGGAAGCACAAGTTGGGTCAAATATTGAAGCCTGCTCTGACATAGGCAAAAAGCCACTTGGAGGAGGGTATTTTTCATATTTAGCGGAACGAAATGAGGGAGACGTAAAGAGACATGAGGACTTCTGAGACGCGTTGGTATTTGTGAGGTGCTCGCGGGGAAGGGAGAATGAATAGTTATACCGGCGCATATAAAAAAAGAATCATCAAACTTCTCGCCTGCAGAGGTGATCGAATTAGGATCCTTAGTGGCGGGTGTGAGAGTTTGAATCCAGGGATCTCTTACCAAGTAGGTTCAGACCTCTCAATACCGGGAGTATTCACTGCATTCCTGTCTCCGAACGGGTTGTCTTCATCATCATCTTCGTCATCTTCTGACTCTTCACTCTGACTATCCGCGTCCTTTCGTTTGTCGTACGATACTGACGATCGGGGGCTGTAGGGGAAGTTGCTCGGTTTTGCAGGTCGCGGAGGCTTGGTGGTTCCGCCAAGATTGAGATCCGCAAACCCATCGTTCATCCCCCTACCACCTGGCGCGTCAGCCTCTCCTATCCCGCCTTCACTATCGCTGTCGCTATCATCGTCGACGCTTTTGTCAAGAACTTCAAAAGTCATAAGCGCATTGACCAGCTCGTCGTTCGCGTGAATAAGACTTCCGAGGAAATCTTCGCTTTCGACATGTTGGATATATCTCAAAATTTGCCGCCGTAGGTCTTTGCATAAATCGAATTGGCTCATTACTTCCGCGTTGTCACTCACACGCTCATTCTCACGGTTGACCCGTTTAAGCGAATTCAAAAGATTAGTTCCTGCCATGGATGCGGATGCAATGGTTTGCAGAATTTCTGGCCTCTCCTTTTCGAGATTGAAAGCCTTCCCGCGGTAGGGCCTATCTTTCGCTATCTTGGAGATACTTGACCTACTAGATCTGGAAGCCTTTGAAGACGTGGGAGACGACAAAACGGTAGAGGGGCCATTGCCTGTAGAAATGGATACAGAGTGACCAATTGGAGATTCAGGACGCGCTTCAGTTTCCTTGAGGACTTTGGATTGTTGTAGGTTCATCGGCTTTTTCCGTCGCGGCAGTTGCTTGTGAAGAGCCGCAATCCGTTCCATACCAGCAACTCCATTGAAGGAGGACGACCATTGTAAGAACAGTTGCCTGCATTTGTCTTTAACTTCTTGGTCTGAAACTGGATCTGTAGCAGCTACACGAAGGCGTTCGAGCAGTGGCTCATCAGTGAAGCCGCGGAGATATCTGGTGGCAGTATTCTGAATAATGAAGTCTAGAATTGTAAGAGCCCGAAGCTGGCGATGGACGGATCCATATTTTCTGAGGCAGAATCAGTACTTAGATATCGCAAGGATAGCTTGCCGACTGGGGGGCAAAATACATACAATTTCTTTCTTAGGGCGCGACTGGCCTCACTTGGACCGGTCGTTTGTAGGCGGACCACTTCGATCAGGTCTACAATTCCACTCGAGTCGTCGATGTCGTACTCTTCACTTGTGAGCCTGTCGATTTGAACAGTGATCGCCGAATACGGTTTCTGTTTCCAGAGAAAAAGGGTATCCATATGATTAGCTGGAGACACGCAAACTAGCAATATAGCAATAGATGATACAATCCAATATGTGTCCCTAACAATAGAAAGTGTAGATGTAGTATAAGAAATAATAGAATAAATCACAAGAGAAGAGAGGCTGTATCCGATCTCATTAGATACGAAACAGACAACCAAGGCAATTTGATCGATATGCTGTCACGTTTATCAAGTGAGAATTTCCTTTTGTGAGGTGACAGAAAGAAAGATGGAAATTTGGATTGACAAAGCAGAACATAGCTACCGTAGATGGCAATATTAACTGAAACAATAACAAGAAAGGGAGAACTTACAGATCCGGAGAACATGATGCACGGGTTGTGCAACGGGAATTGAGGATCTGCCCACGATTTGTAATTAGTTTCTAACTGATTTATTAGGAAGTGTTATCAACGGCCGGGTTCAGGCGCAACTCACAGAGGAGAATTAGAGAATTTAGCTTAATTTAGTATATAGTATGGAGTTTTAGTCTGCAACTGTGGTTTTATGGATGCTGGGCGCCTGCGCGGGATATATGTAAACTGTGGGGAGGATAGAGAGAGGTTGACAAGTGAAAATGGGTTTAAGCGTTCGATCGGAGAGCAGGCAAGCTAGCTTCAGCCCTGTGAAATAGCTGGAATCACAGATAGTTGCACACAGAGCAATATAACACCGTCAAACCTGGTCCAGCGGGAGGTGCAGAATTTTGAGTAGGAATACGTGTACCCCGCGCTGGTCAATAATCGGTCGTGAATGAACGGTGTATGGGTGGTTTAGATAAAATAAATACAATAATTTGACTGTCCGAAGAAGCTTTCTACCTGTTTACGCGCGCATTCCACGAGATCCGAGAGGTAAGTAGCGAAACCTTTGCCTGAATGGGAAAATGTGAAGTTGTTCGGCGCATACTGGGATGACGTTTGGATAATCCCGAGGTGGACGCTAGCCAGCTGGAAACAGACTAGTGCGGGAGGAGCGCCGCCGAGGCAAGTTTCAGCTGCGATTCAACACCCAAAGACTGACCTGGCTCTATAGTTATTCTTTCTAGACACATTGATATAATATATATACATGAAGGTTGAAGCCCATCAATTGAAAAAAACAAATTCACTCTCTAAGTGTATTGGCGTTTATTTTGTCGTTTCGATCCTCCTCATCCTGGCATCCGGCATTGCGATTCGACTCCGAACCCGCCTGTCCCAATTCTCAGGGCACATATTATCTCCCAAGTCATTTTATACTCCAGCAATAAACATGTCTTACCAGCAGGAACTCTATGTTGCAGAACTCGCTGTACAGAGGGCCACGCTGTTGACACAGAAAGTCTTCAACGAAAAAGCTAAAGGCACTCTATCCAAGGACGACAAGTCCCCCGTCACGAAGGGTGACTTCGGTGCACAGGCTCTCATTATTCAGGCAATCCGCGAGAACTTCCCAGATGACGAAATCGTTGCTGAGGAGGAAGCCAGTGCTCTCAGGGAAGACAAGCCTCTGAGTAATGAGATTTGGGACCTGGTCAAAGGCATCAAGCTCACTGATGGAGAGAGTGACAAAGTTTTAGGAGGACCATTGCAGAGCGAGGAAGCTATGCTGGACATACTCGACCAGGGGAAAAGTGCCGGAGGACCGAAGGGGAGGATATGGGCTTTGGATCCTATTGATGGGACAAAGGGATTCCTCCGCGGGGGCCAATACGCCGTTTGTCTCGGTTTGATTGTGGATGGCGACGTCAAAGTAGGCGTGATCGGCTGCCCAAATTTGCCAATCTCTGACTCCGCACCGATTCCCGTCGATCTAGCGAGCGCTCAGTCCGGCGCCAATGGGAGTGGAATGCTCTTTTCTGCTGTGCTCGGACAAGGCGCCTCGAGCCGGCGCCTCTCTGATGGAAAACTACAGGAAAGCAAATCTATTTCCATGAGGCCGGTCCCGGATATTACAAAGGCTTCATTCTGTGAAGGGGTTGAGGCTGCACACTCTGCACAGGATGATAACGCTGCCGTTGCAAAAATGCTAGGAATCACTGGCGCAAGTGTACGGCTCGACTCGCAAGCCAAATACTGCTCGATTGCAAGAGGGGCTGGTGATATTTACTTGAGGCTTCCAGTGAGGAAGAATTACCAAGAGAAGATTTGGGACCATGCCGCTGGCGACTTGCTGGTCCGCGAAGCCGGAGGGATGGTATCCGATATCTACGGCAAGAGACTTAACTTTGGGAAGGGAAGAACGCTGGCCGACAATACCGGTGTCGTTGCTTCGCCGAACGCCATCCATGATCAAGTTATCAATGCCGTTCAAAGAGTACTGAAGCTATAATGAAGAAATTCTATGACATATTCTCAGGTGTTGTGAAGATGGATGGCAGGTGACGGGCCGAGCAGAACGGCAACAGAAATATCGCGGCTATTCTACAGAAAAATAAACTAGAAAAATCCCAAGGGCATAGATATACAAAAAGCAATAGCAGAGCATGAATAGCACAAAAAACGGGATCACTTGATCTTCTTTGCCTTCAGTTTTATCGTCTCGCCGTTCACAAATATGCCCTTACCCTTGTATGGCTCGGGCTTGCGCCATGCGCGAATCTCAGCAGCGAACTGCGTCACAACTTCCTTGTCAATTCCTTCTAGTAGGATAGTAGTTGGTTGCGGCATGCTGGCTTTGACCCCAAGCGGAATGCCTAGCTCAATTGGATGCGCGTAGCCGACTTTCAACGAAATGAACTGTTGACCTGGGTAATCTGGTTCTGGAACGGTGACGGCCTTGGGTTCGATCATCGCCCTGAATCCAACTCCGACGAGCTTGAGGATGCAAGTATGGCCTTCTGACACTCCTAAAACGTAGTTTTTCAAATGCTGCCGTACAGTTCCTATTGATGAAGCGGGTTAGATGAGGGTTGGCGGCTTTAAACGGGGAGGTAAAGGGTGGCAGTGAAATCGTAGGCGCATACCCCACATAGCACGCTGATGTGTAACCTCCACATCTTGTACTTCGACTGTTGCCTTTCGGGATTCCGGATCAAAGTTTACGGTCGAGAATGACGGGAGCGTCAATGTCATGGTTCCTGCAACAAGTGTTCGTTAGCCTTCAGACATTCTGATGAGAATGGGTAATGAAATGACCAACCCAATGGTCCAGTAACCTCCACTGCAGTAGTGGGAGTATCCTTCCCCTGCCGCGCAGTGATATTTTTAGCTTTTGGCAACTCGATGAATTTCAATGAGACTTCGGAAGGAATTGAGAGCGGCGAAGCGCCAATTCGCGATTGTGTCGGGGTTGATGTTGAGAAGGGCTGGCTGCGAAGGGGAAGGGAAAAGGCGGGAAGGAGGAAGGCTGGTAAGGAATTGGACCTCATGGGCTCTTTGAGGAGCTGCCTGTAGCAGCTCCTTGATATTATCCCATTCATCTTGTGCGTGTTGAATTGCTTCGATATTGTGAGTGCTCCTCCGTTGCTCGTGGTAAGAGTTCTGGATTTCAAATAAATTTCCACGTGACCTCTCAGAGACTTTCACGTGACCACGAGGCAACCTTGGAACTAATCCGACCTTACGACGCGACCTTCGTCGCTCATTTCTATCATCAACTTCCAACAATGTACCTCCAGCCAATTCCTCTAGCAGATGCCTGACATCGTTTATTTAGGAAATGCTGGCGTCCACCTTTATTGATATTATGTCCCTTAATCAGTGATTTTACTGTTTCGGCCCTGGTTGGCTTCTGTTATCATGCTTATTAGAGACTCAAATCAAAAATATCACTTCTCACTAAGTTCACTCATGCTGCGTTACCTGATATGAAATTTCTCTTGTTGTTAATTCGGCTCTCGATTTATTAAACGAGACGTGCTTCTGAATCATTTTCGTAACTTAGTTTTTTTTTTTCTCCCTTCTGTTTTTCTCTTCTACATCGCGCCACTAATCAGGATGAGGCGCCCACTACACTCAATCTGTGCTCTGTGCCTAGGCACCTTGAATCTCTTAGCAGGCGCAGATTCGCTAAGATTCCCGTCTTTGAAGAAAGGTGAGATAGCGGGTAGAGACTTTCATACATATGTCTCCTTAACTTACCGTGCACATCAGGCCCGAACTCATCGTCAATCGGTATGGGCTCTGATGAGACTGACCTACCATCCTTACTTCATGCACAGAACAACCAGCAGAGCGAGGTTTTTTCAGATGCTATTAAAATTCTCGACTCCATGAAGTCATCACCTTCTTGTAACCGGCTGGCTGCGGCTAATTTAATTTTGTCCTGTCAATCACTCGGTGGGGATGACGGGACCCAAAAGGCCGGGCTCTCCGACTCTCTAGACAATGTGAAGTCATTGTTCGCTGCTAGGCTTGCTGTTTGCGAACTTATCGGCGCTGGAGCTGCGATACCCGAGCAATGTCCTCCTATTCTTATTACTCACCCGACATATAGGCACCCGGATGCAGAGGATCCTGTTCAACCCTCCCATCTGGCGCCATGCTTGAACTCCCTAGAATCTCGACCCCAATGGTGGACGAGCTATAGTAACAACAGACAAAATGCGGCTGTCATGTGCCAGGCAGCACGGACAGAGATTGAGCGCGAGGATGACCTCAAGCGGTATAAGAATTTGATGGACATCACCTCTATTTTGAATGACTCGCTGAACCAGACACTTACCTCAGCAGCTATGGAGACATCTCGGCAGAGAGCATTTTTAAAAATTGTGGATGACATGCGAAACACACTTTTGCAAGACCTGGAGGATGGGTTTTTACGATATCATGATATAACGACAAAGGTATTTGATGATGTCGAAGGAGTGCAAATTGTTATGGCTGCTGCAAGATCGGAGGCAGCCAATGTGAAAGAGGTTTGACACATGATTCCTATTATGACGGACATTCATTTTCTCACTTGCTGTTAGGATCTCCATTCTGCTTCAAATTCGATGCACGAGCTGAAACAGGTTCTTAATGAAATTCACTTGAGTACAACAAAAAGGGCTGCGGAGATGGCTGCGGCTGAACAGGAGAATCATCAAGCGAACCTAGCACTGGTTTCGTCCGTGAGGCAGTCGGCCGAACATCTAAGGAACCAAGACCTGGAACCCATCATTGAAAGCTTTGGCAAGATATATTATTCTATGGTATCTGTTTATCCACTGCGCCTCCCTCTCGCAGTCTGCTAACTTACTATGTAGCACGCCGTAGAAGACTTCATGAGGTCTATGGAGGTTAGACATGATGGCCTGGATTCAGTATGTGTGCCCCTATGACCAAACCGAGTCAAAACTAATTGTAATAGCGCATGAAATTGTTCGAGCAGGCGTTCCAACAGTTTGAAACTACGGCGGTCGCACTCCAGCAGGTTCAGCTGCAGCAACGTCACGACCAAAAATCATTTCAAACAGACCTAAGAATTACTCAAGCGATTTTGAAAGACGTCACTGCCTCGGCAGCAAATCTTCAAACTTCGATCGAGAACTCTTATGCGGTTTTCCGCAAGCTCACCACTTTTGGTGGAGCTGTCACATCCGTGGCTTGGTGGACCCTGTCAACAGCAGTTGTGTTCCTCATCTTGCTATACCCTAAAATCACTGGAGCGGCGCTTATCTTTCTAGGTATGTAGGATGTATATTTTTTCCCTCTTAATAAACATGTAGACTAATTATCGCTGAAGCATCCGCATTCGCAACATACTGCATGGGGGTTTCCAGCTGGCTTCAAACCGTGAGAGCATCTTCGACTTATACAACCCAACAGCTAACGAATGCCATCTACGTCGTTAGTTTCAGCCTCGGTATCGCGTCTGTCCTTTGCACATTTCTCTACCTTGCCGCACATCATATTTTGCCTCGCATCCGACGACATACAGTTCAAACGACAAATGGAGACTGTGTCACAACACTGGATCCAGCCTGATATTGCCAAATGTATCTCCAGGATTGAGAGTAGACGCTTCCGCCAGATCATCGGATACTGGAATTGGCGGGCTCAGATTCCCATTTGGCATCCATACTCTTATATTTGCCCGGAATTTCACTACCGCTCGCTCGTCTAATTCCGCGTTCATCTATTTAGACGCCAAAGCTTTGTCTTCCCCTAATACTATATTTCCTGAGCTTGCCATATGATGATTCATGCATTTATACTACACCACAACACCTACGATACCCCACACATTTTACAAGCTTTCGCTGCTCGTGGAATTCCCAGTTGACATCTGCTTCCATTGTTCTCGTCTTTACCGCTTAAGTATTGCCTGCTCATTTGCCACTCCACGACCGCAAGGTATTGTTATTGTGAAATTTATAGCGCATATATTTATCATGTAATCATTTCCTACGGTATGTCATTTAGCACGATTTATTATTATATTCTTTCTCTTGTGAACTTAACGGATTCCATGAAGCGATGACCAAAATCACGTGCATTTTTGTAGTTACGTCTACCCCCTTGCCCACGTGAAATGAGGTCGCTTGCCGACCTTTTCGCGTGTCGACTAAATAATATTGTTCATCCTATCTAAAGCTTACCTTCATATAGAGTTCTGGCCTTTGTCCTTGCTAAAATGCTCCCATCCATTTTTCGGTAGGCGTCGGGCATTTGATGTAGGAAAGATGCGCTTGGTCATCTTTTTAAACTGTTCTCCGGACGAAACAATACCTCCCCCCTCAAAAAAAAAAAAAAAAAAAAAAAAAAAAAAAAAAAAAGAATATGGGACGGCTGCTTTCATTTCGATTACAGCTGCAATGACTACCCATCTAGAGCCTGAACAACTTGTGCCCAGTCAGCAGAGGTATATGCCCCGGGGACACTTTCGCCATCGAAAAGACTTGCAAGCACTACTCGGTCTGACTGTTCCCCTTCCCAGGGCTCTCGCCCATGCTGCGCAATAACATTATCATATACCAACACATCCCCCTCCTGCCATTTATGCAGTACCCGTATCTCGTCAGTAATTTTGGCGAGATGTGCGAGGTATTTCTCGTCAATGGGAGTGCCGTCACCAAAGTACTGCTTCGTCACGTTTCGGGCTGTGGAATTGACTTGGGCATTTTTGTAGTAGGCTGCCAGTCCCGTGAAGAGGGTGGGCAGGTTGGTCTTGGCCTGGGTGCGGATTGAAGGAAGTCTATGAGTTACCACGATGCCATCATTATTCGTCCATTCCCAAGTCGTGTGCTTCCCGCGGCCGTAACGGGCGATCTGAGCCTCGATTTTAGCCCTCCTAGTCGCCTCGTCATCGCCTTCTTTGATTTCTTTCCCAAATGCTTGATTGATCGTCGACCCACCCTCATGTTGCTTGTCGAGTTTATACGTTACTTTGCTGAGGATTCCTTTCTCTGCAAGCTCTGCGATGAACTCAGGTATTTCTTGCTGCGCGCGGTGGAACAGCTCAACCGATGATGCAATAGGGCTCTCACCACCTTTCTTGGGAGCGCGGTAACTATAGAAAAAAATATACTCCGGTGCATGTGGAACTTGGGGCGACTCGTTATGGTTGTAGATTAGCACCTCCTTGGGTGATTCGTTCGCTGGGGCCACGTTGGGAGCAAGCAATGGCCTGTCGACGACGATTCCTATAATCTCGTGCGGATTGTAACCAAATGCATGCGCGAATCTGCTGAAGTCCTCTGCGTTGTGAATTGGGAGTCCCCTGAAGAGCAGGGCCCCATGGCGTGCGAGCTTCTCGGTAATAATGCCGCCATCCTGCGCCTGCAGGGACTTTATAGTCTCTATTGCAGTGTCAAGATTAACGTCGTCTTGGTTTGATGGGCGCAATGCAAGAGGGATAACGGTGTTTTCGGGGTGGGGTTTGCCAAGTATGCGCTGGTTAGTTGAAGGGAGCTCAAAGCTGTCGAAACCGAACAATGACGGCGAGGCAGCATGGCCCGGCTTGAGTGGCCGGGTGTGGTTTTCGACAGATGCAGTGGTGGCCATGGTGTTGGTTCAGATGGAAAACGATTTCGGTTGTATTCTGAGGACATGGCATATGTATTTCACCGTGTACCTATGTGGAAGCCACTGCCATATAAATATGTCACTGCCCAGACACAACTAGGAAGGAGAGACGAGCACGTTTGAGCTAGACATTTCTTGGTAATCTCATCCATCTCGTACATGCAGGACAATTGCTCGTCATCTGGGAGGATTTTCTCATCCATGCATGTATGGCGACAACCTGCCCTAACGAGTGGGCTCAAGCTAGCGGGATAAAATAACTTCATTAGTTAGCGTTGACAAACCTGGTGATATCGCTATCCACAGTAAGTCGGTATGTAAAGTAAAGGCATTGACCATACTTGCAAGCTATGGATCCTGAGTGTGCTGATAAGAGATGACGGTGTAGCCGCTCCTACAATATCATGATGATCAACTAGTTGCTCAATGAGTTTATGGCGCGAGCTGCTGATTGCGTAATTTACTCATATCCTCTCCAATTCGTCAATGACAAAAATTAGCATATCCAGCTAAGAGGACCGATGTATTGTGCAACACGCCCTTGTCTTGCGTGCTACAATGCATGAAACATACATCGGGAACCAAATTTACAGCAACGGATAGTCGAAAAGCATTGAGGTTCGTCCTGTGCGGCCCAGTCGTCATGGATATAAATAACCACAGGGACATGCCCTGTTTGATCCCTCAGCACCATGTTATTGACCCCTGGCTTTGTCATCGATTCCTTGATCCCTTTCTCACGTACATGGACTATATCCTCGTTTCAATTACTTCCACGATTGACCATTTCTCATAATTTTTATCCCAATGTCGATGATATCCCCTGCTACCAGTAAGGATGAGCTGCCAAACGGAGAGGAGGAGCTTGGGAGCGAGGCATCCGGCACCCACGCGACGCGAGCGGGCTTTCCTTTCACAGCGAGAAACAAGGTTTCCTTTTTTCGAAGCACCCTTTTCCAGATCCTCGTCGTGGGCGTCTGCGCATTTACAGCCCCTGGAATCTGGAGTGCTATGAATGGACTTGGCGTAGGCGGCTCACAAAGCCCGGACCTCGTCAACGCTGCTAATGCTTTGTTATATGCATTCATGACCGTTACATGCTTTGCGGGGCCGTGGATAACAAACGCAATTGGGTTCCGATATACTCTTGCGGCCGGCGCTTTGGGATATCCACTCTATGGCGCTGGCCTTTATGTCAACAACCGCTCTGGCTCAACTTGGTTCGTCTATTTTGGTGCCATGGTTTGTGGAATCAGTGCTGGTTTCTTCTGGAGTGTTGAAGGCGCTGTCTCCACTGGCTACCCGGAGCAGCATAAGCGGGGTCGCTACATTGCCACATGGTTCACGTTTCGAAACGCTGGAAATTTCATTGGAGGGGCTATCGCGCTTGCGATCAACCACAGCGTCAACCAGCGCGGAAAGGTCGGACATGAGACATACTTGGCCTTTATTGCCATCCAGTGCCTTGGCTTTTTCTCCGGCCTCCTGTTGTCGAATCCCGAGAAAGTGCAGCGCGATGATGGAACGCGCATCGAGGCGCCAAGGGGTATTCCGTGGCGCGAAGAAGCGAGACAGATGTGGCGCCTCGTCACTAGTAGATCAATTCTTCTTCTCATCCCTCTTTTCTGGTACTATGGATGGATACAGGCGTATCCCGGCACATACCTTGCGACATACTTCACTGTCCGATCTCGTGCACTAGGAAGCTTTATGTCTGCTGTCGTCGGGAGCCTGGCGACTTGGTTGGTTGGTTTCCTTGTTGATGTTAGATGGGCAAAGCGCAGGCAGACGCGAGCGGTAGTTACTTTCGTTGTCATCGCTTTGTTGAACAGCGCGACGTGGATTTGGGCGGTCATTATCCAAAACGAATACCGCCACACAAACCCGACACTGGACTGGGGCGACCAACGGGCGTTTGGTCGTGGATTCGGGCTTTTTCTCTTCGAACGTATCAGCCTTAGCATGGTTGAGAACTATATATACTGGTGCATCAGTAACCTATCCGACTCGCCTGGCGATCAGATTCGTTACAGTTCTCTCCTCCGGGGAATTGAAACAGCGGCGGTGGCTGTTGGGTTTGGAGTTCAGGCTGTTCCGACCGCTCTCATCGCTACAGCGAGTATAAACATGGGACTATGGTTTGTTGCACTGCCTTTTAGTTATTATGCTACTGTGCAAGTTGTTCGAAAGTTCTCCCAGCTCGAGACCCAAAGACAGGAGGAAATGCGCACGGAGAGTTAGGCAGTAAAGTGTAAATAGTGGCAATAGAATCAATGAGATTTAATGTATTACCCTTGGAAATTGTAGGGTGGAGAGATAGACGGGGTAGCTTTCATAGCGCAGCGATTTCTAGATCGTTTCAGCGCTGTCTGCATGACCAAGTCCGAAGAATTGGTGTAGTTCATTCAGTGTAAATAATTCCAGGTCGATAGCGTGTTCCAAATCCTCTCGCTTGAAAATGCCCCAAAACGTGGAAAGTTAGTATTAGCGCCTTGGCAAAATTATGCACAGCCGTGAAGTTTAATCCGACCTCAAAATATTTGGCCCATGCGCCGCGCAAGAGAGAACATACATTGGAGAAAAAAGGAATGCCCATGCGTGAATGAATGTGTTGGTCATATTACTGCGACAGTGATACCGTTGTTTTGGTTTGAAGTCATTTGTTATGAATTGGCCAATATATCCCCTCCTACAGGAGAGACATTCCCTTACTCAGATGTGCATCCGACTCTGCAGAGTACATGTACAGGTGAAACGCTGTGGAACCAGTCGCCAAACTCATTTTGTTTCGTGAGCGTATAAGGCGTACGACATGAAGATGGCACCATCCCACCCTGACTGAACTGAGGAACTGATCGATCTGCCTTCATCCCGCACTTGCTTGGTATGCGCAGTTACAAGGCTTCAGCATATGCCCTTCGCGACCCCGCTTTTTCTCCGCCCTCCTGGTGTGCGTGATGCAATTTCTGCTCTAATTGCGCTTGAAGATGGATTTAATGGTTTATGTATGGTATGAGCTTGCCTGCTCATGTCCTCTCTCTCAGATGGACCTCACTACATGATCCCAGAAAAAAGGCAGCACGGTAGCGCTAGCGAACGTCATCCAAGACTCGGCGTGTATTCTCATACAGATACAGTGCACGCTCAAGTCAAGTGGAAATCATCATATCTCTGCACGAGTACCCACATACGGTAGCATCCCACCACGCCCACTCATACCGGATAAAGGTACAAGATGCGGCTGTCCCACCAGAATTGCACGCACCGCCCAAGCTCTAATGAATAGGTGCAGGCAAATGACCTTGCTAAAACGGACACTTTGTTTCATGTTAACGAGCTTCTCTACAAGGTAGATACCGTATAAGAAATAATGCGCTGTCATTGCACGGGCGGATGCTTTCCAGTTATTTGGCCTATGATGACGCTACTACTAGGCTTCGCGGGCGTTGGGTGAGTGTGGACTTAAGCGCTCTTTTTGGAGAGCATGGCGACAAAGAACTGGCTAGGAAACTTGTGGGAATATCTCTCGCCCCGCCCCGATGCCATGTTTGGCTGAACATGGTTGACTCTGACGAGCCCCGTCGATGGCTACCTACCGATTAAATTCAAACACTTGGGTTTGAAATCATGATCGTTTCTTCCACTACTATGGCGTCAACTTACACTCCAATCAGCTAAAACGGGGGGATTGAAAAAGGCTGGAGCGCTTAGCGTGGAATCGAAGACCATTTTGCCTCGGGATATTTTTTACCTATATGGTGTGGAAGAGATGATACAGAAGCTAGTGTAAGCGTTGCGAGCAGCATCGATTGGCCCACTTGATAGCCTATGAAGTTGTTTCTTAAAGCTATATCCTAGAGTCAACCAATCATATACTTTGCTAATCAGTTGCTATCCTTTTTATTATAATTTTTAAGAACGCGTGGTTGACTAAACATTTTTTTGCAGTTAGAAGATGTGACGCGGAATCCTAGATATATAGCACAGAACTTGGATAATTAAACAATAGAATAATTGACTATGACGCCGTGTGTGTTTCTTCCGCTTTTCCACTTTGCAGGTTCCACTCTTAAAAAGAATTGCTACAGAGCGGCTGGTTAGTAATAGGCTGCTGAAATAACGAAAAAAAAAAATTATTAGACACCATTCTCGCGTGGGGTGAGAAAGTTACTGGTACATACATCAAAAAATTTCCAGTGTTAATGTTTAGCTCCCGATGCCACAGATCCGCCGAGCGAACACGAGGCGAAGGTTCGCGTGGAAGTAAGAATCTAGGGGGGCCAACCAACGGTCTCGTACCCAATGCTGGTTGCATTGAATTTGGCTATTTAAAAGAAATTAGGTATAGCCTCAACGGTTCTCTGTTATGCAGTGTAGGAAGAAATGTCGCCATCTAAATGTTGGTTGGTGTTATTCCCAGTTTAAAACTAACTTCTCCAGACCCTTCAACGTCGCCCCAGTAATCTCACCCCATTATAGAAATGAAAGAAGGTACCATGTTCAGCAGTTCTTGTTCAAGGCTCATAGCTGGTTGGTCCATCCAGCCGTACTGACATAGGGACTTGCCGGCCAAGTGTGCTCTTGAAGACAAGCGTCTACTTCTCGTCCGCACGGTTTACATACGAGGACAATAGGGCAGATGACCATATTTTGCCCACTACTCCCAGAAGATGGTTGCGGCCCTTGGAATTGGAGGCCTTCTGCCTAGGCTCAGAATTTCCAGAATAAGTCTCCTGTTTCGACTAGATATCTTCACCAAAATATCTCCAATATAAATGACTACATTGACATCACGGAGCCCTATCCGACCAGGGGCAATGAAAACTAGCCGGACAGTCCAGAGAAGGGAGTGGAGGCAGTGATTAATCTTGCGGCATAGGAGCAGGTAGTAGAATGGGTTTTGTCCTATGCGCTATAGGATGGGAGTTAGGGTATTCAGGACACGGGAAAAAATTTAGTATAGGGTCGGGCTCCCCGTCCCGGGGCTATACCCGAATTTGATTCCAAGTGCAAGCTCAGTTCTAAAGATTATCTAAGAAATTTCAAAATACTTTTCTAGTATGGCGGTACTACTTCGTGCAATAATATAGAGCTTACACACCTGTCTTTTTTCTATGATTCGCCTGTATCGTAAGCAAATTGACTACCCCTTCTGCTACAGCCTAAAAACCCTTCCTGGCCGCTGCTGCTCAACCCATTCCTTGATCAGCTCAATGAACCTATCTATCTCCTCATATGTATTGCTAGCATGTAGACACACGCGCACACGTTCTGTTCCCTTGGGTACGGTGGGTGGCATAATTGCACGGACAATTTGGCCCTCAGCCTGGAGAAAGCTCGCAAGCTCGCGTGGCATTGACGTCTGGAGGGAGAAAATAGGAGACCTATACTGATGCTGTATTGTCAAGATCGGAGGATCTGCTTGTTGTAGGCCTTTTAGTTTTGTAGCCATGTATTGAACAACTTCGCGCAGTTGAAATTGAAGCTGGGGCGGACATGAGCCGCGTTAGTATGGGTCATGGAATTATGATTTGGGGTGGGGTATAACCATACAGTCTCGGTCACTCCTTCGCTCATGAGGTCGTACACAGCGCGAGTGGAAACCAGGGATGGCATGCCCATTGCCGTGGAATATATGAGGCTTCGAGCGTAGTTGATCAGATATTCCCGGGTAAGATGGGAACAGAGAACAATTGCTACAGCCGAGTGTGCACACGGTTCCCAGTAATCATTAGTTAGTTCGTTGTCCTATCACTTCTGTGCCCAGACTTCAACAGCATTTGGGATCTCTTTCTGGCATTGAAAACGGAACGCGTTTGGTCGATAGGGTCGGGGGTAAAGGGTAGCGACAAGCTAGGACGGGGGGCGGGGGTAGATTGGTACCTCCATGGCTGGCTAACGCTTTACCAAACGTGTGTAGTCTGATGAAAATACGGCTTTGGACACCGAGTTCTTGAACAATCCCGGCACCTCGAGGTCCGAACGCTCCAGTAGAGTGCGCTTCATCCACGATCATATAACCGTTCCCTCGGGGAAACACAGTCTTGATAACCTCAAGAAGCTCCGCAATGGGGGCAATATCACCTTCCATACTATAAAGGGATTCCACCGCGACAAGGACATTTCTCTCGCCCGACGCTATCAGATGGTCCTCTTGCAATAGGCTTTGCGCAATTCTGAAAAAATCATCGGCCGAATTGTGCTTGAATGGTATTTTCCTCGATGCTCTTGAAAGCCTCATCCCATCATGAGCACTGGCGTGGATCAATTCATCGTACAGAATAACATCCCCCGGCTGTGGAATGCATGAGAAAATCGATAGATTGGCATCATAGCCGGAGTTGAAGAGTAAGCCGCTCTCTGCGCTGTGGAAGGAGGCTATAAAGCGCTCCAATTCTTCTGCGTATGTAGAGTTGCCGTCCAAAAGCCTGGATCCCTTGCTTGCGAGTGGATGCAAAGACGATTCACGTGTAAGACTTTGTAAAAAGCGGGCGCGGAGGAGGGCTGATGTTGAGAGCGAGAGGAAGTCGTTGGATGAGAAATCCACTGCACCGGGTGGCGGGACTTGTAGACGGCGGCGGCGCCCTTTGGCCTCCCTCTCGTCCAGGCGGGATTTAAAAGCACGCAGAAGAGCTCCAGACGACGAGTCCATTTTGCGATTACATGGTGACCAGATCGATTAGATTTTGAGTATTTCGCCAGCATTCACAACAAATTCACGGGTTCTTGAGGCGGGGCAAGCCCTGCAAGCTCTGAGCGTAATTCATTGTGTGTTTTTTGACTAGGGTTGTTACCCTGCGTAGGTACCCGGCGAGCCTTACATTCAGGGCTCGGTGAGAACCTTGATATTGTTGGCCCGTTGGGGCAGAGAAAGGGGTTCCACCAGTCAGCATGAGGATTAAAGATTCCCTAGAACCTGACTGAGGGCGATGAGGGGTAGGGACTCTACAGGCCAGCTCGGGGCAAAAAAGGCCATTGGTTATTCCTCCACCCACCTCCACTCGATTCGTGTTCCCTGTATATTATCCCGCATTTGTAGTCAAGGTTGAGCTCATCGCGGCCCATACAGAGCACGTGAGACTCATCCGAGCCTCAACAAGAGTCGGCGAATTTTCATCAAATTAAACTGCGGCTAATCTGCGGCTACACAGTCTTTGCGAATACGGACGATATTGGTGGGGAACCTGCAGTGACTGCGTCATAATTCCGGGATTTTTGACTATGCTTCAAGTCTCAGTTTTCAAGGGACCGCATTAAATGTCCTGGGAACTGTCCATCCCCTAAAAAAGGGCCATTCGCATCGACAATGGCTCGTGTGGGAGCTTTTCTCTCAAAGCATTTCCAGGCCTATCAAGTATACGGCGCCAATACCAGCGTGGGTAAAACGATATTCTCGTCATTGTTTTATAGAGCCCATGCTTTGTCGAAGCCCAAAATCAACCACTGGTATCTGAAGCCTGTTTCCACTGGCAATGAAAATGAACGGGATGATAGGTACGTGGATGATGGAAATGGCTGCCTACTTTGTCCGTCAGGTATATCACCTGGATTTCAAAAACTTTTCCATGAACCTGTCATAAGATGTATGACATTTCCTAATATGCTTGGTCACAACACAGACACATCAGTCGCTTCGCTAAACATGTTTCGAGCAAATGTTTATACATCTTCGACCAGCCAGTGAGTCCACATCTTGCTGCTGCTGGCAAAAAGGTAATTTTTCCTTAATCTATGTATACATATCGCAGCGGCTGCTAAATTCCATGACTGCAGTGCCCTACAGATCGAGAAATAGTCGAAGCAGTTAGCCAAACGCTTAATGGATGGGCACAACATGGGCAAGGACTTGTCCTCGTTGAGACGGCTGGGGGTGTCTTATCCCCTGGCCCGAATGGTACGCTGCAAAGTGATCTCTATAGACCACTACGATTGCCCGTCATTCTAGTTGCCGACTCAAGATTGGGGGGTATATCATCTTCCATTGCTGCGTTTGAAAGTCTTTCATTGCGCGGATACGATGTCGATGCGGTTGCGGTGCTGGAAGATAGTTACTATCAAAACCATACATATCTAGAAGATTTTTTCTACTCCAAGAAGAAAATTCCAGTCTTAACTGTTCCCCAGCCTCCTGAAAAGCGGATGACGGATAATGGCTCCCCTGCCGCAAGTGATGAGCAACAAATGTCAAAATATTACGAAACGCAGGTTCAAAAGCTAGTGACAGAACCACATGCACCCCTCGCCGGTTTCTTGGAAGGACTCGCCGAAAAGCATCATTCCCGTATCTCGGAACTTGAGTCCATGCCTTCCAGGGCCCATGACTCCATCTGGTACCCCTTTACCCAACACCAGTCGATAGCTCCAAGGGATATCATGGTGATCGATTCAGCATACGGAGACTGTTTCCAAACCTCCAAAGGCTCTTCTACGGAGTCTGGCTCGAAATCGACCACATCTAATACTGCGCCTGCGCCACAGGATACACTCAACTTATTACGCCCAACATTTGACGGTTCTGCATCATGGTGGACACAGTGCCTTGGGCACGGGAACCCTGAATTGGCATTGGAGGCAGCCTATGCAGCTGGTCGATACGGCCATGTCATTTTCCCCGGCGCGATCCATGAACCGGCCCTTTCACTCGCGGAGTCCTTGATTAAAAAGATGGACAATCCTCGCTTGAAAAGGGCATTCTTCTCCGATAATGGCAGCACTGGTATGGAGGTCGCCGTCAAGATGGCACTCAGAGTAGCGTGCAAGCGGTATAACTGGAATTCCACCAAAGAAGACATTGAAATTCTAGGCCTGCGCGGAAGTTATCATGGTGATACTATTGGTACAATGGACCTCTCAGAACCATCAATCTACAATAAGAAAGTTGAGTGGTACCGTGGCCGTGGCCATTGGTTCGATTTCCCCACGGTGAAGATGATACGGGGCAAGTGGATCGTCGAAACACCAGAGGATTTAAAGGGATCGCTGGGAGAAAATACAGAATTCCCTACCCTACAGTCGATTTTTGACCTCTCTCGACGAAAACAGTCTGCGGCCGGTCGACGATACAAAACTTACATAAAGAAGAGCCTAGAAAATCTTGTGTTACAGGATGGTCGAAAATTCGGGGCCCTGATCATGGAGCCAGTGATCCTGGGAGCTGGCGGGATGTTATTTGCGTTAGTACCCCATGATTCTGCAACAATCTCCTTCTTTCCTTTTCCTCGTCCGCCGCTGTTAACCGCAGCTGCCATTTGAAAAAAAAATAAAAATAAATAAATAAAAAAATAATAATAACCAAACGCCTGCAGCGATCCACTTTTCCAACAAGCTGTGGTGGAAGTAATTCGGGACAATCCGGACTTATTCGGACAGGGCTATAATAATAATGCCCCACCACCACCACAACCACCACAACCATCACTAGCCTCAGATCACGCATGGTCTGGACTGCCCGTGATTTTCGACGAAGTTTTTACCGGCCTCTATCGCCTGGGCAGAGCGTCCTCCGCCTCCTTCCTTGATACCCATCCTGACATCTCCGTGCACGCAAAGCTACTAACCGGCGGCCTGCTCCCGCTATGTATCACTCTAGCAAGCCAGGAGATCTTCGATGTGTTTTCCAGCCCGCATAAAGTCGATGCCCTGCTGCACGGCCACAGCTATACTGCCCACCCAGTCGGCTGCAAAGTGGCCGATGCATCGCTTCGCATGCTAACGGCTAAGAATGCGGAGCGGTATCAGCAAGCACAACAGCATGATCATAATAACCGGAAGCATGATCAACCATCAGTGGTGATCGAGGATGTGAAGATGGAGCTTAACCCTCTCGCACAACCTCGGCACGCTTGGAGTAGATGGTCCGAGCAGCTCGTCCGGGACCTCTCGCACTCAGAACAGGTCGAGGCTGTTTTTGCCCTTGGTACAGTCATTAGCATTAGCTTGCGAAGCCAAGATGGTGGTGGTCAGTAAACAGCCCTTGCCCGTGCCTCTAGCTCCTCATACTACCCCGTCCCCCTTCCCCCCCCTCCCCTGTGACCATCCAACCCCGCTAACTGACTGACTTTGTTCTAGGATATGGCTCCAACTCCGCCGCTGGCTTACAGCGGCAACTAGCCAAAACAAACGCGGACGGTTTTAACATTCACTGTAGAGTGCTGGGAAATGTCTTGTATTTGATGTGTGATCTGACTTCAGATCCAGATGAGCTGACCATGCTAGAAAAATCGGTTCGTACTGCTCTTCTGTAAATAGCATAGGAAAAAAAAAGTTTTAGATTCTAGGTAGATATATACCGTTTGCTTTGAAATATAGATGTGTCTAGTGATATAAGGCAACTAACTACAAAAAAGAAAAATCTTCTACTTAAAAAACTGCTTTTAACTCGGCGTGGTAGTATCGCCCCTGAACTCCCCCCGCTGAAACCCTTCCATGGGATAGAATCCCCACTTCTCAAACATCTTCTTATCCTCCTCCCAGCCACTGCAGTCAGTGGTAAGCATTTTCTCCCCAGTAAATACCGAATTGGCCCCGGCCATGAAGCACGCAACCTGCTGCTCTTCAGTCATGTTGATGCGGCCCGCGGAGAGTCGCACGGTGGTTTTGGGAAGGATGATCCGCGCCGTCGCCACAGTGCGAAGCAACTTGTCAAACTCGATAGGCTTCCTGTCCCCCAGTGGGGTTCCCTTGATGGGCACGAGGGCGTTAACGGGGAACGACTCTGGGTGCGCAGGGAGGGTTGCAGCGGTATGTAGCAGGCCAACGCGATCGGAGTCCTCCTCGCCCAGCCCTAGGATCCCGCCAGAGCAAACGTTGATTCCGGCATCGCGTACGTGGCTCAGAGTCTGGAGGCGCTCGTCGTATGTCCGCGTGCTAATAATGGATGGGTAGAATTCCCGCGAGGTGTCGACGTTGTGATTGTAAGCGGTCAAGCCGGCTTCCTTGAGCTCCTTTGCCTGCTCCCCATCGATCATCCCAAGAGTCACGCAGACTTCCATATCCAGCTTTCTCACGCCGGAGATCATTTGCTTCACGTTCCGTAGACTGCTTTTACGACCACGCATATCCCGCCATGCTGCGCCGAGGCAGAAGCGGGTGCTGCCGTTTTCTTTCGCGATGCGGGCTGCTTCCAGGACAGCATCGACGGAGCTCATCTTCGTTGCCTTGAGGCCCGTGTCGTAGCGAGAGGATTGCGAGCAGTACGAACAATCTTCTGAGCAGCCGCCAACTTTGATATTCATTAGAGTACATAGTTGGATAGCCGAGGGGTCATGGAATCGTCGGTGAACAGTTGCCTGTGGGCATTATACCAAAAGAAGTCATTAGCGTCACTTTCTCTCTGTCAATGATGGAAAGAGGAGGAAGAGGGGAGAGGATTTCCCCCCCCCCTCCGAGTGGGATAATTTCATACAGCAGCATGAGTAAGTTGGTGTAGGGGCGTTTCGTATATCTGTCTGATCTCATCTCGCGTCCAATTGATGCGGGGAGCTTCGGCTGCAATTGCATCTTGTAGCACAGTCGACGTTGACGCAGCGGCTGGTGATATAGAGGTAGCCGCTCGGGTTTGTGTAATTGGGGTAAATAAACGTAGAAAGCTCCGCGCCCCAGCTGGGGACACTCTTATCGAAGCCATTCTAATAATATTTGGAAACTGAGCCTGCCTATAAGCTAGCTAGTTATTAGAAGACTCTCGGATGTTTGGCAGGGGTGAAGAAGGGAGAGTGAATTGGTGTAAGGTTGCAAATGATAGTCAAATCGAAAAATGACCGACTGCTCCGCGATTTAGCTCTGCCATAATATCTGATAAATGCTCACATGTTCATTGGTGCAGGCAATCGCTGTGGGGGCAATTTCAGGAGGAATTCAGAGTATTATTATTATTATTATTATTGAGCGCGGGCAGCTGAACTACGAGAATTCCACCGAGATGCTTTCTTGACTCCGCCAACAGATTCCGCATCCTGGGCTGTGTGCTGTGTGCGGTGCGGTGGGAATGCCGGGGTAAATAGGACCCCCATCCCCCCCAACGATGGGCCCCAACAGATCCACGGTGCTCGCGCCCAGAAATATAAAGAGCGGTCCTGCCCAATGGAATCGGTGCTTCCTGGGGCGCTGATGACTGGCTTCCAAGGGGGGGGGACCAAAGGAACCCTGATAAAGTCAGCTCCATCTCCGATCCCCTTTCTAGAGAGGAATCACTTTGTGTTTCTTCCAAACAATGGCTTCTGCTTTGCGGGATCAGCACGAATACCGGCGGCGGACGGGTTCACTAGGCCACCAGATTTCCAAGTTCTAGACGGGACAGCAGACAGCCATCGATCGTGTTCGGTGCGTGTAACTGTTACGGCGGGGACAATAACTTACTGGGGTGGGAGGGTTAGCCCTAACTTAACTCAATACACTGGACTAGCTTCAAGAAACTCTCTCTAGGCGATTTCGGCGATTGGTAAGTTAGACTTTTACAATTGTTAACTACTTATAAGAACAATATCAAAAGCATTTTGAGTAGGTATTATTACTATTTCGCGGTGATATGTTCTACCCATGCCTTCGCTTACCCCACCCCACCACATCATGGGTGGGTGCGCCTCACCACAACATTATTATCACCAAACATGATATATTAGAGATCATGTTGGACGTCTGAGTAGTTGTATTGGTTGCTATCTACGGAGCAGAGTGCGCTATATGGTTGGTGCGGAAAACCAAACCAACTTTTCCGTGCAAAAAACACTGTAACGTGACATCACGTGCACCCCATCAAAAATCCATGGATATGTAGTGGCGCCTGCTAATTGCTCCTACTCTACCTACCACTCTATCTACCCTCTACCATCACCACCGCCTCTAACGCCCCGTAGCACCCCCTATCACTTCCACTTCATATCTCTACCCTACCCCCATCTTACCACTCACTCTCTTACCACTCCTACCACCTCTACCACCCCTACACCCCTTCCACTCTGACCCCTCCTTACCACCCCTTATCACCCCTTACCACCCCTTACCACCCCTATCACCCCTACCACCTCTATCACCACCACTGCCTCTACCACTTCACAGCACTCTCTATCACTTTCACTCTCTATCTCTATTCTCATCTTACCATTCTATCCCTCTCTTATCATCTCTATCATCTCTCTCACTTCTACCACCTCTATCACCTCTCTCTATCACCTTTTTCACTCTCTAGCCTCTCTATCATCATCATTATCTCTACTACTCTACAGTCTCTTCTATCACTTTCACTATCTCTACTCCTCTCTTACTATCTCTACCACATTTTGATCTCTGTGTTTATAGTATATACTGCTAAATACTCTGTAATAAAATCTCATGTAATGTAGTAT